TGGCCCCTGAGTGACCCCTGAGTGACCCCTGAGTGACCCCATGACCCCTGAGTGACCCCTGAGTGACCCCATGACCCCTGAGTGACCCCTGAGTGACCCCTGAGTGACCCAGAGTGACCCCAGAGTGACCCTGAGTAACCCCTGTGACCCCCATGTGACCCCATGACCTCTCTGTGACCCCCGTGTGACCCCAGGTGGGCGTGGTCAGCTGGGGCGTGGTTCCCGTGTGCCGGCAGTGCCGAGCTCCGGCGTTCGCCCGCGATTTCCACCTGAGCCTGTTCGAGGTCCTGCCCTGGCTGAGGGAGCGGCTGCAGGACGAGGACCTGGGGTTCCTGCCCTGAGAGCACCTGGGGACACCTGGGGACACCTGGAACCACCTGAGATACACCTGGGGACACCTGGAACCACCCTGGGGACACCTGAGATACACCTGGAACCACTCTGGAATCATCCTGGGGACACCTGAACACAGCTGGGGACACCTGGACACAACTGGGGACACCTGAGATACACCTGGAACCACCTGAGATACACCTGGGCACACCTGGAACCACCCTGGGGACACCTGAGATACACCTGGAACCACCCCGGAACCATTCTGGACACACCTGGGCACATCTGGGATACACCTGGAACCACCTGAGATACACCTGGACACACCTGGAACCAGCTGAGATACATCTGGGGACACCTAAGATACACCTGGAACCACCCTGGGGACACCTGAGATACACCTGGGGACACCTGGACACACCTGGAACCACCCTGGAACCATCCTGGACACACCTGGGGACACCTGGACATACCTGGAGCTGCCCCGGACACACCTGAACACACCTGGAACCACCCTGGTCACACCTGGACACACCTGGAACCACCCTGGTCACACCTGGACACACCTGGAACCACCCTGGAACCACCCTGGGACACACCTGGAACCACCCTGGAACCACCCTGGTCACACCTGGCCGTGTCCCCCCCACGCTGTCCCCAAGCACCACCTGTGGCACCTGGCTGGACCTGTCCCCCTCTCCCCTCAGGTGACAACAAACGTGTCCAGGTGACAATAAAGGTGTTCCTATTCCCCCCTCAGGTGACAATGAACGTGTCCAGGTGACAATAAAGGTGTTCCTGTTCCCCCTCAGGTGACAATAAACGTGTGCAGGTGTCAATGAACGTGTCCCCATCCCCCCTCAGGTGTTCCCTGGCTGTCCCCGTGATCTCCAGGTGACAATAAATGCACCCAGGTGACAATGAATGTGTGCAGGTGACAATGGACGTGTTCCTGCTCCCCCCCAGGTGTCCCCTGGCTGTCCCCATCCCTGCCAGGTGACAATGAACACGTCCAGGTGACAATAAATGTGTTCCCATCACCCCCCAGGTGACAATAAACATGTCCCTGTTCCCTCTCAGGTGACAATAAACATGTCCAGGTGACACAGATGATTCCTTTATCACAGCTGTCACAGCTGTTACAGGTGACACAGGTAACACAGGGGACACAGGTGACACACCTGTCCCACCCCTCCCCAGGTGTGTCCCAGGTGTCCCCAGGTGTGTCCCACCCGTCCCCAGGTGTGTCACACCCATCCCCAGGTGTGTCACACCCGTCCCCAGGTGTGTCCCACCCGTCCCCAGGTGTGTCACACCCATCCCCAGGTGTCCCCAGATGTGTCCCAGGTGTGTCACACCTGTCCCCAAGTGTGTCCCAGCCGTCCCCAGGTGTCCCCAGATGTGTCCCAGATGTGTCACACCTGTCCCCAAGTGTGTCACACCCGTCCCCAGGTGTCCCCAGATGTGTCCCAGGTGTGTCCCAGCCGTCCCCAGGTGTGTCCCCAGGTGTGTCAGTGTCCCCCGAACAGGTCCTCGTTGTACACCACCTGCGAGCGCTTGTCCCGGTGCGAGCCCTTGGCGCTGTTCTTCACCGCTGGGGGCACCGGGATCAGGGGGGGGCTGCACCCCCAGGGACCCCCGGGACCCCCCAGACTCACCCAGGACCCCCCAGACCCCCCCAGGACCCCCCCAGGACCCCCCCAGACTCAACCAGGGACCCCCCCAGACCCCCCCAGGACCC